CTCTTTCTCTCTTTCTCTCTTTCTCTCTTTCTCTCTTTCTCTCTTTCAGAAGAATGAATGAAAAAGAGCGTTATGGGGACAGGAGTAAAGAAACTTGAAATTGTGGGCATGTTTCTTTGTGGTCAAGTATTCGGCAAAATAAGAGTATTTCCCGTTTAAATCTAACACAAAGAGTTGCCACTAGAAACAAATGGCATAAAGGTGCAACTATAACACAAAAGTTTGAGGGTAAGGAGGACCAGGAAATACACTGCTTTCTAAGCAGAAAAGCAGATGAGAACATAGGGAACCTAGATGGGGCAGACCATGAGAGTTTACAGACACAGTTTGAATTCAGTGAACATCCGTTTCCAGTCACTCTTCTGTACAGTCCTAGTTTTCCAATTTGGTATTTTTTTTTTTTACATAATTGGACCCATTAAGTAATGATCTTTTGCTGTCTTTATCTTACCAGCACATCTTCTTTCCCTTTTTATTTCCTTTCTGTCACTCATTCTGTTGTGAGCCCTTCTCCCTCATCTTTCTCAATGTGATGTGTTTCTCTCTTTCTCCAGCTATTCTGTTTCATCTTTTTTGTTATGTGTTTCTACATGTGCTCTTTCAACTTCACGTGTGTTTTATCACTTTTCTGGTAGATCTGTTTTCCTTCTCTTATTTCTGTTCTGCTAACCCCACTCCAAACTTTCTGCTGTGTCCATACATCACCCTCACCCATTCCTGTTTCTCATCTCTCGTCTGATGTTTTCACAATGCTTTCTCTCCCAGAATGAAGCCTGTGCCTTTTTTTAATGTCTCACATGTATGCACACTGGTTTGCTTTATGTTGAGCTCTTTTCTCACTCAGTGACACTCATTCTTGCTACTGTGGCAAGACTGCATCTGCAGATGCTTCTCTATCCCTTTCAGTCTGAAGCCCTTACTTCTCTCACTGCCTCATATACAATCACCTCAAACATAACAAAAAATTGCTTTTTCTTTCCTTCTCTTCTTTCGTTCCAGACTTTCCCTCTATGCAGATATTTTCCTGTGCCACGTACAATCCTCCTGCTTAATAACACACAACCTCAGCTTGTCTCTGGAAAGTATAGTCACTTACTCCATCATTAAGATCTCTCCTGATCATAAATCCTGCCCTTTTTTAGCCTGTCATCTACACTCTAGTCACTCTTTCTCATTCCTTATCACAAATAAATGCACATCTCTGCTTCTGTTTCATTGTAAGCTCTTCAGGGCAGGACTTCTTGTATGTTTATGAAGTATGTAGTGTGCTGGGTTGGGTCTGAAGTCCAGTTGCAAGACTGTTACGATATAAATATGGAAGTCGCAAATTTCATAGTGCACGGTAAGGTTTTATCCTATTGCTCCTGTCCTCAGCTGCCTTCTTTACTGACGGGCAGAGGGAAGCCGCGTGGAAGAGAGGAAGTTGCTCCCTGTAGCTTCCCCAGGCTTCACAGGCTGGCCCCCTGCAGGGTGTTGGGAAGAAATTCCAGCAACAGAACTTTCTCCTCCCACAGTAGTCTGCTTTGCTGGCATCTGGCTCTGCTGGAGAGACGGGCAGCAGATGGAGCTAGTGTGGGAGGAGAAAAAGATTGGTTTAGTCAAGTGGAATAGGAACAGGAGGCCAACTCCAGTCGGAGGGAGATTTTGTGAGGAGAGAAGGGAAACGGTTTCATTTTTGCCACCTCTTCCATATGGAAAACAGCACACTTTGAGGGTGAAAGACAATACCAAGACTAAGAAACATCGTTGAGTAGAATGAAGTAGTCTGTGTAATGAGAGCATATATTTCTTCTGTTTAAAGTATGCCTCTTGCTTCATATGCCAGTTTTCCTGTTTTTTTTTTTCCTTTTTTTTTTTTTCTTCATATTACAGTCTTTGATCCACAGATTGTTGGTAGCCAGAAAAGTGTTCTGGTTCTGGGGAATCTCTCTAGTATTCAAGAGTCATCCTAATGTGGGACTCTTCCCTAGGCCACTGTTTTTGACCACTCTCTGTGACATAATCCTGTCTAGCCAGTCTTGAGATTTGCCCCGGAACAACCATTCTCATGTTTAAACTATTTGGATAGCACTGAAAATGCAACTTCCTTTTGTTGAGAACAGAAAATCTACTAAAAAACATGGGAAACTTGAGGCAAAAGTGTTGGCAGTGGTGATGTGTGTATTGTACAATGCTCTCTGTCAGCACAGGTGCAATATTATTTGATAGTACACTGTGTAAATGTATGACAAATGTTTCTTATGGCAACAAGAATAAACACACAAAGTAGAGCTCATGACAGAAGTGATGTATATTTAGATGAATTAAATGTTGCTGAACAAATACTTAGAATGGTTGGAAAGGAGATATTATTATTATTTCCTGTTTCTAAATACAGTACAAACAATACCTGTTGAACATTATAAAATGCAGAATCCTTTATTTCCTCTTTCTTTTCTGTCTCAGTTAATCCGTATTCCTGATTGAAAAGTAACATTTGTGGAGCACTTTTGAGTTTTTATTTCAGTGCAGACTTTTTGGGCTATGAGCCAGAACAATTCTTAAGAGATTTTACTGCTGCTCAAAGATATTGCATAAAAATGTCTTTCAAAAGAAAAGCACAAAGCTCAAGTTTACACGTTTGTGTGAACATTGCTAATTTTTCTTTGTAATTTTATTGTCTCTTTGTACAATTTCTTTTAACAAAACACCTAGGTGGATGAAGTCCTCAAGCTTTCACTGATAGCTGCATTATCAATTCTGAAATGCATTCATGTATGTAGTATTCATAAATGTGATAGACATGGCTGAGTAGGAATCGGGCCATGGAGTACAGAACTTGGGAGGGGAACACCTACAATGAGGGACTGTGGTAAAGCTGAATGAGAGGTGATTGTGAATGGATAGCTCAAGTGATCATGATGAAGCTTAAGATTTGCATACTCTTATTTGTTGAAGGATTTTGGGATTATTTTTCAGAGTTCACTGTTTGCCATTAGCAAGTTGATGAAACCTGTCATTTGATGTCATGATAAAAAATGAGTATATTGTTAGCTCCCTATCCTCAGTGCTGAACTATTACTCCAAAACCATAACAGCAGTGAGTAATCACAGTAATGGAAGAATATGTCTATGGATGTAAAGTTGTTTCTTTTGTCTGCTTCGTTAAACTATTTCCATACACTAACAGGAGAAAATATCCATCAATGAAATAGTGAATGGAATAATAGTTATTAAAACAAACATTTAAATCATGAAGTTGAAACAAGTGAATACAAGATGGTTTATTGCTGTCATCTGATAGATGGTGATATTCTGAGCCAGCAGAGGATTTTTTTTTCTCTGAGTTTCTCTCTGTAGTATTAATAAGTCGTGCTGTTGAGAGATAATGCCTTTGTGTGATAGTGGGAGTGTCAACATATGATCTTTCACTGTATAGATATTTTTATGTTTTCCTAAAGCTAACATTTTTGTACTGTTTGAGCTGGTATTAACCTAAGAATTCATCTTCTGACTATTAAATATCTAATACAAAAGTTAGAAAGCAGTGTTACCATAAATAAAGGGAAAAATGGTTACTGAAACAATAATGTCTTGATCATAAGTTATTATGAATCTAGAATAAGATTCATATTGGATTATAACACTGGGTATTCTTATTCCTGAGAGCAACTGTATCAGATGGGTGTGTTCACAAAGCCTGTTGTGTAAAGAAGTGTTTTTAGAATCAGAACAAATTTCATTCACCGTGTCTGTGATTTGATAAACACTACAAAGCATGTTTCATCATCTCTCTTCTTAAGTAGACAGTTAAACTATGATTTTTCTTCTAATGCAGAATATATAGAGCTGAATCCATAGGGGAGATTTAAAGTGAATCTTATTTAGTTATGAAGTTATTTAAAGCTATGAACTCTTTTACTTCCTCCCATTTTCAGAGTTGTGACAAATAAATTACATATTGTGAAACGAAGTACAGTAGAATCAAAACTTCAGGAAAATACTGCTAATTTCCTCCATTGCAGTAAGTAAGTAGCTGAGAACCTCATTGTTTTCATTATTAATAAACTTTACATTTAGCATCCAGCTCCTCTTGAGTGGTAAAGCATGACCTTTTCTTCCATAAGCTCTGGTCTTTTAAGCTTGAAAACAGTACAGTTCTTCAGCTGGAAATTGAAAAGGAATAAACTTCAAATATCACCTTGACACACTTGTCAGCTAGTGGCCTTGGTTAACAGGTTTGCAAACACAACACAGGTAACAAAATCTGTTAAAATGCAAGCTCAAGAATTAATATGGAGAAGAAATTAAGGTAGTTTGATTTAAATAGTGCCATCTGTCCTAAAAAAGATCTTCTGCATTCTTTTTACATGTAAACAATATGCGTGATTTTCAGTTAAGTTCTGAGTCTTGCCATTGAGTGCTTTTCTACTACAAAAGTCAATAGCTACTGTATGAAAAGTAGACTCTCATTTAATTCAGAAATATATGTGGAGACTATTAATTAGCAGAATACATTCTCTACTATAATTTAAACAATTTATTGTTACAAAAATTGCAGTAGGTCAATGTTCTGCTATGAAATATGAGGT